CTACGCCCCCCACGACTCCGCTTACACCTTCATCAGCCATAGTAGTGAGAGTGGAAAAGATGCTTGAAGAGCAGAAAACTCATATTATTGAAGAACTGCAGTTTTAAAATGCACGGAGAATAGAGTGATGGAGAAGATAGGAGAGTTATCTGCTGAGCTGGCAAACCTGAAGCTGGCAGTCGCTACGGTGAAACAAAGAGTGACGATGGTGGAGAATGCATGTGCTGACGTTTCCTCTCTTCGCAAAGAACTCGCCGCTGCTCGAATGCAACTGAACGAAATAGAGAGCGGTGCAGTTGCTACTGATTTAATAATCAACGGTGTACCGCAAGCGGCTGATGAGAACTTGGCAGAAGTATTAACCAAAATTTGCAGCGCAGCTCAGCACAAACCGCCACCGCTGCGAGATATTTTCCGGCTTCGTAGCAAAGAGAAGCAAAACAACAAACATGCGCCCGTCGTTGTGAAGCTGATCTCATCGCATGACCGCAGCCAGCTTCTGAGATCTGTTGCGATGTTCTGCAAAGCAAAAAAGAGGTCTCTATCGCTCTCTGACATCAATATGCACGGCTATAGACAGCTCTACCTTCACGAAAGCCTTCCGAAAAATTTGCGCGCGGTAGGCCGTGGTTATGCCACCAATGTTAATTGGCAATCAAAAGAGAAAATTTTCGGTGATTGGTGAGAAGTGGTTACGCTCTGTTTGCTGATTGGCGAGCACAGGGTTGCTTCCTAAGAAATGCCTTTTTCCATTTCATACAATTTCGCACACAATGGCAGCGCTGAAGTAAAAATGCAACTAAAAATGCATCAAAATTGAAGTCGGAAAATCAAAAATGGAAGAACAACTTAATATTTTTTCTTTCTTTAATATATTTTTTACTATTCTAATATTTAATACTAATACCTTTTCGCAAAATAGCGTATTGCTACCCTGAAAAATTGGCGTGCTCCCTGCAAAAATCGTTGGACCATGTAGTCTATTTGTGGTATATTGGAGTACTTACAAAAGTGTTCCTCTGTCATGCTGTAGCGGACCAACTCGTGTCTCTGCGCCAGCTTATTGTTTGTTATCCGATCACTACTCGTGTTTTAACGAAATGTGATTGAAGTTGAGCATTTGAAAGCACATTTGCATGTCTGGCTGTAGCTGAACGTGTAGAGATGCTCGCTGTTAGTTCTTAGCTCCCAGCATGTTCGGGTTCGAATGCCGTCAGAGGCAACATGTAATTTTTAATTTTTGTCTTGGTTTTTATTAATTTCGAAAAAGCATTTGAGAAGTGAAGAACAAAAGCGTGTACAAAGGAAAAAATATAACAACAATGCCATTGTTAATATGTTGGAGTAGTTTTGTGCTACTCTGATGTAATGCAGGGATGGAGTATATGGTCCTGCCCTAGGACATCGCAATGTTAATTGGACCATATTTTTTATATGAATTGTGGTTAATTTTAGAGTACTCCTAGGTCCTTAGGGAGTACTCTTTACACGCATGCATGGAGTAGTCGCGATTTTTGCAGGGATTATGCATCGGAGCACAGGAGGAAGAGAAAACTAACGTCTGCTTTCTCTGTGCGTGGCAAAGTTTTCGTGAAGTTGAAACCAAATGAAGAACCCAAATATGTGAGCTGCATTTAAGACGTCGATCAACTCATCGGAACAACAAAATTATGACATTGTATGTTATTACCATTGTATGCATTTTATATTGTTGTTACTGTAGCTTTTAAGTTTATAGTTATTGCATGTATCTACTCTCTTCTGTCTTTACTCTTACTATCTGTATACAAGTACTCATCTGTCATTACTTGCCTTGTCTTTTTAACTCATCTTTCCACATTTACCCTTTGTTTTTACTTTACTTGTCCATCACCTCTACTACACATTTGGCATATCTTGCCATTTAATCGTTCACAAAGCACAATCTTGGTTTCTTACGTTGATGACCTTTAGAAAACGTTGTCGTTCCGAAGACGTGGAGAACACGCTTACAATGATACGTGTACTGTGCAACAAAAAGCGCGGGTTGAAAGTGTGTCATATCAATGCTCAAAGCTTACCTAATAAAATCGACGAGTTCAGATTCATTTTAGAAACTTCTGGCGTCGATGTTGTGTGTATTTCGGAGACCTGGTTCTCTACGAAACATAGTGATGCTTTGCGTAATGTTAATGGATACAAACTTTACCGCGTAGATAGAATTAAACATGGTGGTGGTGTTGCCATGTATGTTAGGTCAGGTATTTCATGTGAACTTAAGTGTGTTTCGGAAGTCTCAGATTCTATTGAGTATCTTTTTATTGAATTAGCGCACCACTCTAATAAAACCCTTATCAGTTGCGTTTATAGACCAAACAGACACGTTGCATACGAACAATTTGTAGACTTCGTTGAAAATCTTTCCCTTGGGTACAATAACATCGTGATTACGGGCTACTTTAACAGTGATCTACTGAGCGAAAGCAAACTTTCGTCATCAATGCAGAATCTCGGTATGTTTCCTGTAAACCAATTCACACCGACCCATTTCACTCAAAGTAGGAGCACGCTTTTGGATGTATTTTTCGTAAGCCAGAAATCTAAAATACTTCTATACGATCAGCTATCTGTCCCAAACTTCTCTAAACATGACTTGATCTTCCTGACGTACGACTTCAAACTTACGTATGACACAAATTACTATTAGTTTCGGGACTTCAGTCGCATTGACTATAACCAACTTGAAGTGGCCATTGAAGGGGCGATTTTGAAAAGACTCAAAACAGTAAATGAACAGATCTTTCTTGAAAATAATATTACCACTCTCTTTGAGCGTTTCGTACCACTAGTCACAAAACTAAGCAACACTCGAAGTCAGCCATGGTTTAACACTCATATAAAAGACTGATCCGCAGACGCAATAAGGCGTAGGATAAGTGAAAGAAGACCAAGACAGATATAGCTTACTGCAACTTCAAGACCTTGCGAAGAGAAGTCACCAAAACGATAAAAAGCCGGAAACGTAGCTATTATGAGCAAAAGTTTGCCACAGCAGTTGGCTTAAATCAAACCTGGAAACGTATCCGAGAAATTGGGATTAGTCATATATGTAATACTTCTATATTGGTAGTAAGCTAACATCTCAATGTGTAAGCATTCCGAAATCAAAGCGAGACAGTCTAGTACTGTTTTTGTCAATGTATTGTGTACTTGGGTGCCGTTTTTGTAAATGTGTCGTGTACATGTTTATTTATAAACGTATGTGTTCCTTTTCTTTCGTACGTGTTTATTGATATATCTGTACTGTAGCGTTTTCGGACGGTACTAGCTCTTACTGCCAATATAGGAGTATTACATATATGGGATTAGTAGCAAAAGTTATCAAGCCGCCGAGACTATAGACGTAAGCGAACTAAACCAAAAGTCTGTGCAACTATCTACACCTGATAGTAATATATGTTATGGCCGTTATAATGTAAGCGTATCTGCTTTGAAGTCCCGTTTTTGTTTTGAATGTGTTGATGAATGTGATGTTGTACAGTCTATACTTGGTGTTAAATCGAACGCAGTTGGTTTCGATGGCATTCATCCCAAATTTGTTAAATGTATACTACCGAAAATACTTCCTTACCTTACGTATGCCTTGAATACCATCCTTACAACTTCGGTCTTTCCTGATTGTTGGAAAAATGCCAAGGTCATTTCGATTAGAAAACCGAATGGCGATTATAGGCCAATAGCTTTACTGCCATTTCTTTCAAAAGTCCTTGAGCACATTATGCACCGTCAAATAATTAATTTTTTAAGCACGAACTCTCTTGTAACCCCCTACCAATCTGGATTCAGACAAAACAGAAGCTGCACCACGGCGCTATTAAAAGTTTCTGAGGATATAACGATCAATATTGACAATAATTATGTAACCTTCCTAACTCTTCTGGATCATTCTAAAGCATTTGACACTGTCAACCACACTCTTCTATGCTTTAAACTTAAAAACTTGTTTGGTTTCTATCCGACAGCTGTAAACCTACTAAAATCATATCTAAGTGATCGTTCACAAGCAGTGCGTGCTGGTAACATAAAATCTGAAACCTTATATATAGCCAGAGGAGTACCCCAAGGTTCAGTTCTGGGTCCATTACTATTTGTCTTGTACATTAATGACCTTAATAATGTATTGAAATATTGTAATTTCCATACCTATGCTGATGATGTACAACTGTATCTTAGCTGTCCTATTGACTTTATTCTGAACACTGAATTAGACCACCTAAATAACTGGGCTTGTGACAATGGACTAGTACTGAATCCAAGTGAATCCCAATGCATTGCTATTTATAAGAGGAAGTTTAAACTTAACGATTCCAATGAAGTGAGATTAAACAACTCCGCAATAAAGTTTGTGGACCCTGCCAAAAATTTGGGGGTAGTATTCAACAGAACGCTTACATGGTCAGATCATATTATTAGCACAATTGGGAAAGTATATGGCATGCTCCGCGCGCTGTGGACTACCCAATCCTTTACCCCCTTAAAAATCCGACTGTTGTTAGCTAAAACTTATCTGTTACCTCCTTTTTCTATGGTTGTGAGCTGTATGCTAGTTGTGAGAGTGTGTGTCGTAGGAAGCTTAATGTCCTGTTCAATAATATTGCCCGATACATTTATAAAACAAGTAATTTTTAGCAAAAAAAAAACCGACTTCAACTCCCATATAAAAAATATATATATATATATATATCTCATGATCCACTGATCGGATCTCAACCAGATTAATATGGGACACTACCTTTCCGATGCAAAAAGAATTATCGAAATCGGTTGACGTGGTTCAAAGTTATGCGGTAACATACATAAAAAAAAATAAAAAATATTCCGACGAACTGATAACCTCCTCCTTTTTTGGAAGTCGGTTAATAAAACGCGACGAGCACATCTCCGAATTCGCAGCGAAAATTGCGTCAATACCTTTTAATGACATACTAAAAGTAAAGTGTCTACCACTACTGCATAAGATAGTGACTACTCGAGACCCTCAGTATCTAGAAGAACGACTTCAGATTAATAAATCTTCCCGATCTCTACTGATTGCTAGCTTAAAATTTAACAGTTTGATAACTGAACGTCAGTTCTTTATTTTCTCCGTTCGTCTTTGGAACGGCTTACCTCATAGAATCAAGCGAATCACTAACGCATTGCGTTTTAAGAACGAATTAATGCAATATTTTGCCAATACCCTTTAATTTATGTCTTCTTCTATAAGCTTATAAAGGGACTTCTTATTTCGTATATGACTTATCTTATATCTTTATTTTATTTTTCTTTTTTATCCCCTACAAAATATTTCGAAGGATATGTTTAGTATAAGATCAAACACGTCCTCCCATATAAACCGAATTTTACACAATAAGTATCTCTGGAAGTGTATATGGTAGAGTACTGAAACTTTATAGCGGCGTGGCAACCCCCATACCAGTCGAATTTTCCTTCCTTATTGCATATCTCTAGAATTGTTCATCGTAGAGTACTGGAATTTGGTGTGGAGGTATATGAATCTAATCGCATAGTCATGGAGAAGATATGGAGCTATTGGAAAAGGGGGCGTGGAACCTACCATACAAGCCCGATTTCATACTGCATATCTCTGGAAGTGTTCATGGTA